AGGAAGAGGAGCTGAAATTTAGCAGCAATTCAAGACTGGGCAACCACAATGTGCTTTGGACCATCAGCAACAGAATTATATTCAACAAATATCTGTAACTTCATGGCCTGGCATAACCCTCACTTTGCCATTATCACTAAGCCTGCTTCAATGAAGAGTGCTGGAGGGCACAGCAGGAGCAGCACCAGGTATACGTAAAAATGAGATGTCAACCCGGTGAAGTGATAAAACAAAACTACTTGTATACCAAGCAGCAAAAGCAGCATCCAATAGATTGAGCTGAACAATCCAAAACCAATGGAGTAGATCTAAGCTCTGCTGTTCAGCCATATCAAGTCATGAATGATGGAATGCAATTAAACAACTCAGAGGAGGAGGAGGCTCCACAAATATTTTCATCCTTAGTGATGGGGGAGCCCAGAACATGTGCAAAAGGCAAGACTGAAGCATTTGAATCAAGCTGATTTTGCAATCGAACAGAAGTACAAAGTAGAATATCTTTGCTGACATTCTGAGATGTTCATGCTGAGTATGTCCAGAGTCGGAGAACAGCTATTTATACAACTATGACACCAAGAAATCCTACTTGAACATTCATATTAACGCACATAATGGCAACTCCCTGAGTATGAATGACTGTACTATTGCACTACCTCATTCAGATTTTTGATGGGAGCTGCTTTTGTACTATAGGAGCAGAAATATTGACCATCAGAAGCTTCATTAAGGTTAGTTCTACAAGGGTGTTTTTTGAATTGGGCATCAGTCTTATGCTAGAAAATGAGCTTCAAGCACTGTGCAAATCCCTGTATTGAATTTGTGCTGGAATTCTCCATGATTTTTGACATGAGAGCAGGTTTTCTGATGTCCAGTGTAGCTCTCATCAAAGTATTTTGCAGCAGAATTTATACTTCATCTCCACACTGGTGAGCTGGTTCCTACACTATCCTTGTCCTCATGTCTGACAACAGGATATTTGTGCCAAATATTTCAACATGCACAGATCCTAACCTTATATCATTCTTTAAGATATATGTATTGCCAGCATCAGAGTGGCTGGCAATGAGTACGAAATCAAGTGATATTGTGCCTTCATCATCACTGTCTTCTTGGTCTTTTCAGCAACCGGTGTTGTTGGAATTCTTGAATATTTGAAAGGAAAAAAGGACAGGAGAGGTGTGTTGAGAGAACCAAAGAAAGTGCAAGATAAAGGAACTTATAAGTTTGAAGATGAGTCTACAGACTTAGTTGACTTCTTTTGAGGAGGAAGCAAGCAGGTTGGAAAAAGGAGACACAGTGGATGTAATATATTTGGATTTTTAGAATGTGTTTGATAAATTGCCATACGTTAGGCTATTTAATAAGAAAACAATCCATAGTGTTGGAATTAGGAGATTAGCATGCACAGAGGCTTGGCTAACTAATAGAATAGAGATAGTTGGGATAAAGGGGGCATTTTCAGGATGGCAATCTGTGACTAGCGGAGAGTCACAGGGGCCAGTGCTGGGGCCATAATTATTCACAATATATATTTAATGATGAGGAAAGTGAATGCATTATAGTGAAGCTTGTGGATGACACAAAAATAAGTGGGAAGATAAGAGGTGATGATGACACAAAGAGTTTAGATACAGATTAAGCAAATGGGCAAAAACTTGGCAGATGAAATATAACATGGGAAAAAGTGAGGCTATGCACTTTGGCAAGAAGAATGGAGGGGCTGAATGTTATTTAAATGGAAAAATAATACAGAAAGCTATCAAACAGAGGATTTGAGAATCCTCATGAATGAATCGCAAAAAGTTAACATCCAAATTCAGCTGGTAATAGAGAAAGCAAGCGGAATGTTAACCTTTATTTCAAAGGAAATGGAGTATAAAAGTAGGGAGAATTTGCTAAAACTATACAAGTAGTCAGACCACAGCTGGAATACTGTGAACAGTTTTGGTCCCCTTTTCTAAAGAAAAATATAATGATATAGGAGGCAGTCCGCAGAAGGTTCACTAGGCTGATACCAAATATGGAGGGACTGTCTTAAGAGGAGAGGTTGAGTACTCACTGGAGTTTAGAAGAGGTCAAAAATCACACAACACCAGGCTCAACTCATCAATCGCCAATTCTGTTGTGCCACAGCAAAAAACTCAGAAAACAGACATGAGATACAACCGATTAGGGTACCCTTTGTCATCCAGTACTTCCCTGGAGTGGAGAAACTACGCCATGTTCTTCGCAGTCTTCAAAACATTATTGATGACAATGTGTACCTCACCACGATTTTCCCTATGCCTCCACTTCTTGCCTTCAAACAACCGCCAAACCTAAAACAGACTATTGTTTGCAGCAAACTACCCAGTCTTCAGGACAGCATCAACCAACAACACTACACAACCCTGTCATGGCAACCTCTGCAAGACATCAGATCATCGACATGGATACTACCATCAAACATGGGAACCCCACCCACCACGTACACAGCAAATACTCATGTGACTCGGCGAATGTTGTCTATCTCATATAATGCAGGCAAGGATGCCCCGAGGCATGGTATATTGGTGAGACCATGCAAACACTATGACAATGGATGAATGGACACCGCACAACGATCACCAGACATGGCTATTCCCTCCCAGTGGGGGAACATTTCAGGGGTCAAGGACATTCAGTCGCCGATCTTCCGGTAAGCATTGTCCAAGTTGGACTTTGAGATACACAACAGTGCAAAATTGCTGAGCAGAGGCTGATAGCCAAATTCCATACCCACGAGGGTGGCCTCCATCATGAAGGAAGATGCCATAACAATGCTATCAAGTAGCACATGATGAGCAATTATCTGTTCACTCATGCTCAGTTTGGGTTCCATCAGAGCCATTCAGCTCTTGATCTCATTACAACCTTTATCCAAACATAGACAAAACATCTGAACTCCAGAGAGGAAGTGAGAGTTGCTGCCCCTTGACATCAAGGTCAGATTAGAATAATTGTACTATCAAGGAGCCCTGGCAAAACTGGAGTCAATGAACATTGGGAGAAAGGAGTCATATTATGCACAAGGGAAGATGATGACCTTCACTCCATCATTAGGTTAGAAGTGGGCATGTTTGCTGACGATTGCATAATCTTCAACAAATTCACAAATCCTCATATATTGAGATCATGCCCATATTCAGCAGGACCCGAGCAACATCAAGGCTTGGGCTCATAAATGGCATCTGCCATTGGTGTCACACAAGTGCCAGAGAATGACCATTTCCGATAAGCGAGCCATTGCCTCTCGACATTCAATGGCATTACCATTGTTGAATCCTCTATAATCAACATCCTGGACATTGCTATGAACAAGAAACTGAACTGAACAAGGCATATAATTACTCTGGCTACAAGAGCAGGTCAGAGACTAGGAAGACTGCAGCAACTCACTTCCTGACTCCCCAAAGTCTGTCAACCATCTACAAAGTACAGTCAGGAGCATGATGGAACACTCCCCAGTTGCCTGGATGAGTGCACCTTCAACAAGACTCTTTAAAAAAAAAAGCTTGACATCGTTCAGGACAAAATAGCGCACTTAATTGCATCACCTCCACAAACATCAACTTTCTCCACCACGAATGTGCAGTACCAGCAGTGTGTAACATTAGAATTTAGAATTTATTGTCATATGTACTTTTACAAGAAAAATACAACAAAGTGTTATAAATCGCCTTACCATGGCGCCTTTATTAATGACAGAAGTCATAAGTAAATTCATAAGTAACAGTAAAATGTAAATTTAAGACAAAAGTTCATCACAGTCCATTTAACGGCTCCTGGTTTCGGAGGAAGCTGATCAAAAGACGAAACACACAGCTGGAATGAGACCATCAAATGCTGGGCCACCGGAAAAAACTGGACGGAAAGCCTCCGCTGAAGAACACCCCCGCTGGACAAGACTGCTACCCCGGATGAGAAACGCCACACAGGGCCGTCGGAACACCAGGCTAAAAGCATCTGCCAAAGAAAACACCGCCAGGAAAAGATCGCCAACCTGGATCAAGATGCCACACCAGGCCGTAGAAACACTGGGCCAGAAGCATTCACCGGAGATTAAGCCAGACCACTGACAGGACAGTAACACCGGTATAAAACCACCATGCCAGGAGCCCACTCCGCTGGGCTGACAGCACCACGCTGGCAAAAGATCACCACTTCGGACCGCCAGAAGCCACTCCATCGCTGGATAAGCCACAAGGTGCACTGCAGAAATTCATGAAAGCTCCTTAGTCAGCGCCTTCGAAATCCATGACAACTGCCACCTAGAAGAACAAGGCCAGGAAATATATAGGAACAACATGATCTGCAAGTTCCCCTCCAAGTCACTCACCATCCTGACTGAGAAATATATCAACATTCCTTCAGGGTTAAAATCCTGGAACTCCCTCCCTAATGGCATTGTGGGTGTACCTACACAAAAAGGACTGCAGCGGTTCAAGGCAGCCACTCACCACCAACTTTTCAAGGGCAAGCAACGAGGGATAAGCAATAAATGCTGGCACAACCAGTGACAGCCTCGTCCCACGTATGAGTTAAAATAATCACTGATTGTTGTTTGTGCTGCCCGCATTTCTCACACAACCCTTTGAAGAGACCTCCATGTAGCTTCAAAACTCGAAATACAAAATTTCTCTCTCAAAAGTCTAAATGAAATCTGTGGGCAACTGTAAACACAATGAACCGCAGGCATTATTCATTCACAACTGACCACAAAATTTGCACAGTCTAAATGCACAGTCTAAGCTTGCACTTCGAATTTTATATTAGGAACAAATTTAATCAAAAAGCAAGATAAACGTGACAACAGTAAGCTAAATCACACATAGAAACTGAACATGTAAAGTTTTTAATCAGTAGGTAGATAAAGTAACGTAACATAAGTAATAGTTGTAATATTTTTGTAAATTAGTCTGGTGCTTTATTATTAAATTTGTATCTATATAATATAATTATCATTTTATCCTGGCACTCACCATCTCCTGGTGCTGTTGCTGGCTGGATCTGAAGAAGTTGGAGCAATCCTGGTGCATTCGTCCTATTGGGTGACTTTGATGAATTTCCAAATCCGTTTAGAGCAGTCTTTTGAATTTCTGAGGTGTTACCATTGAGACAAATGTCTCCAAGTATACAGCAATAGAGTTGGATTAGCTGCAAAGGATAATCATGACAGTCTTCTGTGCTCACATTTTCTTAGAATTAAATCTCCTGGTTACACATTGGTTTCATATTTTCAACTTTACCATGCTAATAGCATGGATTGTTGCAATTCCAATGCTTTAACAATAACACAGCACTGCCAAAGAATACCACCTCTTCCTTACACATTAGCTATATAGAAAAGACACTAGGTGCAGGGTGCCATAGTGCTTTAGAACCTGTTCGTTCTAAAACATATGTTTCAGTGGAAGTAATGCATTCCATTCTGCAAACTTCTCTGCCTCACACAAGCCCTCGACAATTTTAAATAAGTTACTACAGGAAAACAGTTCTTAGAGAAAAGCTATTATACAACAACAATAATTTATACATTGACCTTGACACTGTGAAACATTGCAAAGTACTTCACAGGAGTGTTATCAAACAAAATTTGACTTAGCATCATATAAAGAAATATTAGGATTGTTGATTAAAATTTGCAATATGCACAAGACCACCGCAGGGTGCAGAATTCACACAGAGTTGTATGGCAGTTGGAGGTTAGTAGCAGGTGTACAGCCAAGCTCATGGAGGATTTAATTTTAAAATTGCATAGTTTCAACCATAATATAATTTAGATCAGCGGATAGTGCAGTGATGCATGAACAAGAGTTTGTGATTTAGAATGAGGAAGAAAATTTTAATGAACATGTAATTATGATGGCAGACCAGCAAGGATAACTATCGAATCGTCAATTCTACTTGTAGCAAAGTCAATACAAAGTCAGTAATGAGGGTTTCAGTAGCAGATAAGCTGAGGCAAGGATGGAGTAAAGCAACGCTATATATGTTGACGTGGGCAGTGTTGGTCATGCAGCGATGTGATTGGAACCTTATCACAAAGTCAAATGTAACACTAAGACTGTTCACACAGTTTCATTAAGCTTTAGACAGTGGCCGGGGAGAGGAATAAAGTTGGTGCTAATGAGATTTGAGGTAGTGACTGAGGGCAATGGTGTTTGCCTTCCTAATATTGAGTTGAAGGTAATTCGTACATGATGTCGGACAAGCAGTGTAACAAATAAGAGACATTGGAGGCATCAAAGGGATCAAGAATCTGTCTATCACTGTCTTAAATACACTCAATGACTTGGCCTCTCTCTCTTTGACTGTGGCCTTTGATCTTAGTCTCTCCTACAAGTGGAAACATCTTCTCCATGGTTAGGTAGAGCTGCAAGTCATCAGTTGACATGTGGAATGTGATATTATGTTTTCTGATGATGTTGCCAATGTGGAAAATATGCATATGACACAGAGTTAGGGCCAAGAACAAATCTTCCAGTGACTCCAATGATAACAAAACAGAAGCCAGAAGAGAAGCCGTTTTAGGTGATTTTCTGGTCATAACTAGCTAGGTGAAAATAAAACCAAAATGAGTGCAGGACCACATGGTAGAAGAGAAGCACTGGAGGAGTATGGTGTGGTTAACCATTTAAAAGATTGCAGGCAAGTCAAGAAGAAGTAAAAGGGAGAGTTTATCACAGCCACATAGGATGTCATCTGTGACTCTGATAGGTGCTATTTCAGTACTTTGGCAAAAAGTGGATTGGATGCATTCAAACATGGAGCTCCAGGAAAGACGGACACAAATTTGAGAGGTAAATACTCATTCAAGGACTTCAGAGAGCAAAGGGAGATTTGAAATGGGCTGATGGATGGAAGGAAGAATTGTGGATTTTTTTGAAAAGTGAATGATGGCAGGAGATTTCAAAGGTAGGAGGGTCCGTATCTGAGTAGAGGGAATCATAAGATATAGGACCAGAATTAGGCAATTTGGTCCATTGAGTCAATCAGGACTGGTATTTTCTCAGCCTCATTGTCCTGTCTTCTCCCTGTAATGTTTGATCCCCTCACTAATCAAGAATCTGTCTATCACTGTCTTAAATACACTCAATGACTTGGCCTGTCTCTCTTTGACTGTGCCCTCTGGTCTAAGTCTCTCCTACAAGTGGAAACATCTTCTCCATCTCCAGGTCTCTCAGCATTCTGTAAGTTTCAATCAGATCCCCCCTCATCCTTCTAAACTCCATCAAATACAGACCCAGAGACCTCAACCAAACCTCAAATGATAAGCTTCTCATCCTGGGATCATTCTTGCAAACCGCCTCTAGAACCCCTCCAATACCAACATCCTTCCTTAGATACAGGGCCCAGAAGTACTCACAATATTCCAAATGCAGTCTGCAGAGCCTTATACAGCCTCAGCAGTACATCCTTGCTCTTGTTATCTGGCCCTTTCAAAAAGAATGTTAACATTACATTTGCTTTCCCACCTGCCAGCTAAGCCTACATGTTAATCTAAGAGAATCCTGAACTAGGACTCCTAAGTCGCTTTTGTGCTCAGATTTCTGAAGCCTTTCCAAATTGAGAAAATTCTCTATGGCTCTATTCTTCCTACAAAGTGCATAACCTGACACTTTTCCATATTGTATTCCATCTGCTACTTCATTGCACACTCTCCTAGCTTGTCCAAGTCCTATGGAAGCCTTTCCACCTCCTCCACCTATCCTGTCCCTCCACCTATCTTTCTGTCATCTGCAAACTTAGCAACAATGCCCTCACTTCCTTTGTCCAGATTGTTAATGTATAACATGAACAGTTCTGATGCCAAAACTGACCCCTGTGGAACTCCATCAGCTGCTGTCCTGAAAAAAGACCCCTTTATCCCTAATCTCTGCCTTCTGCCAGTCAGCCAATCCTCTATACATGCCAGTACCTTGCCCCTAGCACCAGGTTCTCATTTTATTTCACAGCCTCTTATGCGATATCTTGTCAAAGGCCTTCTAGAAATCCAAATGGTTCTCCTTTGTCTAACTTGCCTGTTACCACCTCAAAGAATTCTAACAGATTCGTTGGGCAAGACATCTCTTTGACAAAGCCATGCTAACTCAGGCCTATTTTATCACAAACTTCTAAGTATTCTGCAATTTCATCCTTAGTAATGGATTCTAAAATATTACCAATGATTGAGGTCAGGCTAACTGGGTGACAGTTTCCTGCCTGTTGCCTCACTCCCTTCTGAAATGGGAGATGGTTACATTAGCCATTTTCCAAGTCCTCTGGGACCTTCCCTGACTCCAGTTATTCCTGAAAGATCACCACTAATGCCTTCACAATCTCCTCAGCTATATCCTTCAGATTCCTGGGATGTAGACAATCTGGTCCAGGTTATTTATTCACCTTCAGATCTTTCAGCTTCCTTAGCACTTTCTCCTTAGTGATGGCCACTACACTCACCATTGCCCCCTGACACTGCCCTCATTAGCAATATCAGCTAATGTGAAGCCAGGGAGAGAAAGTGGAGGCCAGCAAACTTCTAGGAACCAGGTTGAGGGAGCAGGAGGCGGATATCATGGACAAAATGAGCTGTAAAAGGGCATGATGGGAGCTAGAAAAGAATCTAGAGTAGAATAGGAGTACACGGAGAGGGAGGGGAAAGTTTAGGCACAGTTTAGCCTGATGGGGTAAGGAGTAAATGAAAGGATAGAAGCTAAAGAGAGAGAAGAGCAGCTGAACAGATAAAGAGTTGATAACGAACAGGTTGGGAGGGTGAATAGTTGTTAATGGGGACTATTAGTGACTAATTAGTGGTGTGTAATGGCAAGCAATGAGGTAACAAGGCCTGGTGTATGGGGTAGGGGGCTGGGACATGGGAGAGTTCAGGCCCTAAAATTATTGAACTCGATATTGAATCTGGAATCCACAAACAGGACTGTCTGGGCAGACCCATTGTTTCAGCCTGCTCGTGCCCCACAGAACTCATCTCTTCCTACCTTGACTCAGTCTTCTCTCCTCTGGTCCAATCCTTGCCCGCATACATCCATGATTCTTCTGATGCCTTACACCGGTTTCAAAGCTTCCAGTTTGCAGGTTCCAGCCGCCTCCTCTTTACCATGGATGTGCAATCCCTTTACATGTCCATTCCCCACCAGGAGGGTCTTAGGGCTGTCGGCCTCTTCCTGGAGCAAAGACCTAAACCATCCCCACCCACTACCACCCTCCTCCGCTTGGCCGAGCTCGTCCTCACCCTCAACAACTTCTCTTTTAAATCTTCTCATTTACTTCATGTCAGAGGAGTGGCCATGGGCCATGGGCCCCAGTTACATCTGTCTCTTCATGGGGTACGTGGAACATTCCTTGTTCCAGTCCTATTCCAGCCCCAAGTGACAACTCTTTCTCTGATACATTGATGATATCATCGATGCTACTTCCCTCTCTCGTTTGGAATTGGAAAACTTCATCAATTTCGCCTCCAATTTCCACTCTGCCCTCACTTTCACCTGGTCTATCTCTGACTCCTCCCTTCCCTTCCTCGACATTTCTGTTTCCATTTCTGGGGATAGACTGGCCACTAATATCCACTACAAACCTACTGATTCCCACAGCTACCTGGACTATACATCCTCACACCCCACTTTCTATAAAGACTCCATCCCATTCTCTCAGTTCCTCCGTCTCTGTCGTATATGTTCGGATGAGGCCAACTTGACAAGGGAGCCTCCGAAATGTCCACCTTCTTCCTCAACCTAGGATTTCCCAGCTGCGTGGTCGACAGGGCCCTCAATCAGGTCCAACCCATCTCCCGCACTTCCGCTCTCACCCCTTCTCTTCCCTCCTGCAACAGCGATAGGGTTCCCCTTATCCTGACCTACCATCCCACCAGCATCCACATCCAGAAGATCATCAGACACCATTTCTGCTACCTCCAGCAAGATGCCATCACCAGACACATATTCCCCGCCCCTCCCTTGTCCGCCTTCCGCAGGGACCATCCCCTCCGGAACACTGGTTCACGCTTCCTTCACCCACAACACCACCCCACAGCCCCACGGCACCTTCCCCTGTAATCAGCGAAGGTACAATACCTGCCCATTTACCTCCTCCCTCCCCAGTATCCAACGGCCCAGACATACCTTCCAGGTGAAGCAACACTTCACCTGCACTTCCCAGAATCTAGTATACTGCATTCACTGCTCACAGTATGGTCTCCTCTACACTGGGGAAACGAAGCGTAGACTAGGTGACCACTTCGCAGAACATCTACGTTCTGCTCGCAAAAAAGACCCTGAACTACCCGTTGCCTGCCACTTTAACACACCACTCTGCTCCCTGACCAACATGTCTGCCTCTGGTGTGCTGCAGTGTTCTAGTGAAGTGCAACGCAAGCTAGAAGAACAACACCTCATTTTCCGCTTGGGGATCCTGCAGCCCTCCGGACTCAATATCAAGTTCAATAATTTTAGGGCCTAAACTTTCCCAGGTCCCAGGTCCCAGGTCCCAGTCCCCCACCCCACCCACCAGACCTTGTTACCTTATAGCCTGCCATTACACACCCCCTGTTATTAGTCACTAATAGTCCCCATTAACAACTATTCACCCTCTCATCCTGATCGTTATCAACTCTTTGTCTGTCCAACTGCTCTTCTCTCTCTTTAGGCTCTATCCTATCGCTTACTCCCTCCCCCATCCCCCACCCCTTTTTTCTGCATATAAACTGATGTTTTCCCAACCACTATCAGTTCTGAGGAAGGGTCACTGGACCTGAAATGTTAACTTTGTTTTTTCCTTCACAGATGCTGCCAGACCTGTTGAACTTTTCCAGCAACTTTGTTTTTGTTCAAAGTCATAATGTTCCTGTTAGAATGAAAGGTAAGGCTTGTAATATTAGGGAACAATGGATGAATAAAGATATTGAGGTTCTAGTCAAGAATAAAAAGAATCATATTATATACAGACAATTAGGATCACATGAATCTCTTGAAAAGTATAAAGAGTGTTGGGGCACTCTTAAGAGGGCAATCAGGAAGGCAAAGAGGGGATATGAAATAGCCTTGGCAGACAACATTAAGGATAATTTGAATAGATTCTACAAGTCCGTTAAGAGCAAAAGAGCAACTATGGAGAGAAGGGCCCTTAGAGATCAATGAGATCATCTTTTGTGTTGATCCTCAGTAGATGGGAGAGATATTAAATGATTATTTTGTGTCAGTTTTTACTGTGGAGAAAGAAAGAGGCTAGAGGACTCGGGAAAATAAATACTGATGTTTTGAAAACAGTTCACATTACAGAAGATGAAGTGCTGGAGGTCTTAGAAAACATAATGGTGGATAAATCTCTGGGACCTGCTCAAGTGTATCTCAGGATGTTGTGGGAAGTTTAGGAGGAGATTACAGGGCAGAATACGGAGGACTGGAGGGTAGCTATTGTTGTGCCTTTACTTAAGAAAGGTTGTAAGGAGAAGCCTGGGAAATATAGACCTGTGAGTCTGACATTGGTGGGTAAGTTGTTGGAGGTGATTCTGAAAGATAGGATTTGGAGAGGCAAGGAATGATTAGGGATAGTCAGTGTGGTTTGTGTGAGGGAACTCATTTCTCTCAAACTTGATTTGAGTTTTTGGACAAAGTAACCAAAAGATTGAGGGCAGAGTGGTAGACATTGTTTACTGAGACTTTTGTAAAGCCTTTGACTAGATTCGCATGGTAGACTAATTAGTAACGTTAGATCACATGTGATTCAGGGTGAGAGGGTTCAGTAAAGATTTAACACTGTTGCCAAGAATGGCGGGGGGGTTGAGCTATAAAAATAGGCTGGGAATTTTTTCACTGGAATGTAGGAGGTTGAGTGGTGTCCTTTTGAGAATTTTAAAATCATGAGGGGAACAGATAAGGTGGATAGCAAGTGCCTTTCCCCTAAGGTGGGGGAGTTCAAAACTAGGGTGCATACTTTTAAGGTGAGAGGAGAAAGATTTCAAAAGGGTGTGGGATCAAATTTTTTTTTTAAGAGAGTGTTTAGTGTGTGGAATGACATGCCAGAGGAAGTGGTGGTTGCAGGTACAGTTACAACGTTTAAAAGTCATTTTCATAAATGCATAGGAATGGTTTGGAGTGATATGGGCCAAACACAGGCAGGTGGGACTTCCTTAGTTCAGGAACATGGTCAGCATGGACTAGTTGAACTGAAGGGTCTCTGGGATCTCAGAGTATGCAAACATAGGGGTAGGACAAGTTGAGAAAGCTGTAAATAAAGCAATAGTAATCCTCGGCTTTACTAATCAAGGAATATAATAGAATTGCAAAGAGGCTACTGAAGAGTGTTAAACTTTATTCAACATTCATTAGGGCTCAGCTAGAGATTTGCATTCTGGGCACCACAGTTTAAAAAGTATATCAAGGCCTTGGGGCGGGTTAAAAAGAGATTTATTAGTATGTTATCATGTATGAACAAATTAAATTCAGTCGACAGACTGAGAAGCTAGAATTGCTAACCTCAGGGCAGAGAAAATTTACAGGAGATTTCACAATGATCAAGTTCATAAGTAGTTTTGATAGAAATGAAGAAAAACTGGTTTCAGCAGCAGAAGAGCCAATTATCAGAGGACACAAATTTAATGTAATTCGCAAAGAACCAAAAAAGCAACATGAGGAATATTTTTCTATGGAATGAGTTGTTAACTATCTGGTTGAAACAAATTCAATAGCAACATTCAAAAGTTAATTGGATAAATACTTGAAAGGCAATCAAGTTAGGCTGCTACAATAAGAGAAGGTGAGTGGGAATAATTTGATTGCTCTACCAAAGAGTTGTCACGGGCACTTTGGCTAAATGGTTTTCTTTAGTGCTGTATCAGTCTATGATTCTACAATAGATTTAATAGTAGAGAACAGAAATTGGAGCTTATTGTAGAATGATTCTTGATGATTGAGGACAATTACCCAAGGACAAGGGGCCCAATAATACTTTGTCATCCAGCCAGTTGTTGAAAATAATTTCAAAACAAATTCCCCACCATGAATGTTGAAATCGAAGTTCCTTTGACTTAATTGATTGGTGATAAGGGCTATACCAGAGTTAATGTTCTCTAGCCTTTGTTAAAATGGCCAAAGCTCTTTCTTCACTTATTGTGTGGGCTGGTCCAATTCGCCTCACCCTCTCAGTTTGGTTTACAAGTTTCAGACTTCTGTTATCCACCTTTATCAAAACTAAATCTATTTTTTTTAAATGCACCTTTAAAACTCCTGTCTACTTCAAGATTGTATGACCCTGTTCTAACTGGATCACCCTGTGATCCCTATTCCCACCAGTGAGCCAAGGATTTTGGCCAATCATTTCTACGCAAGTCAGATCCCTTTCAAGGCCCAGGGCATGAGAATTGCTGACATAAGTAATCTCATGGAAGTAGCTTTCTAAACGAGATGTGGAGTCTCCACAATCCCACACATCTATCCAGAAAAATTTCCATTTGTTTACTTTGACTGTTATTCTTCTGCCTGTGATTACATTGAAAACATGGCATCTGATGTACCCCTAAAGTTTTTAAATGTAACTCACACAGAAGAAAGGTTAGGTACAATAATTTGGTTCTCATATTAAATCAAAAGCAAATTCTATCTTAGAAAGATAATCTGTAATATTTTACATTGAACACCATATAGCTTTATCTTTACCTGTTTTAAATTATGAGAACTAATGCGTGATACAAGAGCTGTGCCCAGCTCTGTCAAAACCTTTAAACAAGCCATGTTCATTTTGGCAGCTTCACCCAACAGCAGCAAACCAAGGGTAGAATCAATCCTGAAAATTAAAATAAAATAGTCAGTCATACAGTACAGAAACAGACCCTTTGGTCCAACCAGTCCATGCCAACCAAGTTTCCCAAATTAAACTAGTCTCTTGTCTGCATTTGGCTCATATCTCAAACCTTCCTATTCACATACCTATCCAATGTCTTTTAGATGTGATTAAATGTCCTTGCATCTACCACTTCCTGTGGCAGTTCATTCCACATCCAACATCCAAACCACCCTCTGTTGACAAAGCTGCCCCTTAGGTCCCTTTTAAATCTTTCTCCTCTCTCCTTAAAAATATACACTCTAGCATTAAACTCCCGTACCCTAGGAAAAGACCTTTGCTATTCACCTTATCCATGCCCCTCCTGATTTTATAAACCTCTAAGGTCACCCCTTGTTAGGGCTGCCCATGACAGTACAGCAAAATGGCCAACAAAAGCCCCAACAAGCTTTGCAGTATGTTTAACAGGAATTAGTGTGAGAAAGGCCTGTGTTCTCAGTGCTTAAAACAGTAGCTGTCTGTTTAAATAAGATTGGATGTGAAACATTCTTTGCTACCCAAAAGAACATTTCATAACAACTAGTTATTTCTCAAGTTTTGTTTTCTAATCGATCTGTCATAATACTACTAGTAGGTTTTAATAAAGATTCTTCAAGATGATCATAGATATAGTTTCCTAATAAACTATAGATTTTACACGCACCTATGTATACAAAAATAATTAAACAAAACATTAGAAAGAAATTTAAAAATTAATTGCGATTAATAGAGAGAGGGCCTCCCTATCGCTTATCAAGGACAGCAGCTAAGAGAGTTGAAATGGTGGGAAATCTTGAAGACTTTGTTACAGACTCAAACAAAATAGCCAACACAGATGTCATAGTTGAGAGAAAAAAAGGTCACATGGAGATTTTGGCTTCCCACATACCAAAAGGCCCAATTCAGATCATAGCAACAAGCAATTATTATAGCATGATGTACAGGAAACCCAATCATAATTGAATAATCCAGCACTAATGAACCAATAATATACAGGGGGAGTGAGTACGTGCAGCCATGTTAATGTTACCAGAAAAATGTATAAAAGACAATGTGCTTGTATTTAAAATTAGTGTCGTTGACTTTTCTTCTGATATGAGCTGAAGATTGGGGGGGATAATTGGACTCCCATGTCAAGTCCAGATTCGGAGTAGCCTTTGGCATTGTACCAGTTAATGCATGAATAAATTGCCACATGCCCTGAACTCTGCTGTCTCCTGAAAACTTATTACCTCTGCAAACTCGCTCCTACACACCTCAACCTCCTATCGTCCAACGAAAAAAGTACTAGCCTATCCAGCCTCTCCTTATAACTCAAACCTTCCAGTCCTGGCAATATCCTGGTAAATCTTTTCTGAACCCTCTCCAATTTAATAATATCCTCCCTATAGCAGGACCACCAGAATTGTACACAGTACAAGTCACTAGGATTAAGTCAGTGGTTCTGGGGTTGGTCAGACTTTCCTAGCGCCCTTCCTTTGGTGAAGGAGAGTGTGCGTGTGTTCATACTTGTCTAAGTAGAACCTCTTTCGTAGTCGTATGTTGTCGACACCCATTTGAACAAGTGAATCCTCTGCCTCCAACTACAAGTTCCTTTCCAGCCCTGAGCAGATATCTCAAACCCTGGTACAAAGCAGGCAGCAGAACTTTGTGGACTCATGCTTTCAACAGCACAGCAGTCTATCCCCAACTAAACTGCAACTCCAATTACATTCCCACTTGAATGGCTTCCTGTCCCACAGAGTTCACTCACCACCTTGCAATTCCTGTTGTCATCCATACATACAACAAAAACATTAAACAACCTGTAAGGGCTGAGACTCCTCCACTCACTTTCTCAGTTCTCATATCTGCCTCACTCACAGTCATACCCTCCCATCACTAATCATGTGTCAAATCAGTTTACTAATCCTAAGGGGAGTGATTGCCTTCTGGAACATCCCTGATGCATCACAGCTCTGCTCCAGTTCAATGATTCTGAGCTCAAGTTCCTCAAACAGCAGATACAATCTACAAATGCAACTGCCATGAATTATAGTGGCAATCATCAGTTCCCATGTCTGTAACATATCATCTATCCTGCTATCTTTGTGTTAATTATTACATAATCAATTCTATTACTACTTTACTACTGTTAGTAAATCTTACTAAATCTCATAATTACTTAAAAATTACCTGAGCTTTTAAAGATTAAAAGAACTCACCAACCATACACCTTGTTCCTGCGATGTCATTTTGATTTTTCTTTGCTAACACAGTAAGTCCCCATGTCATTTTGTTCTATAATCACTGCTACTCTTGCATTAATGCTATAAATATCTGCTGCTCTTGCTTAAACAAATATTTTTTCTTTATATAACATCTGCACTTTCATATGACCTCAGTCGTTAGCATAGTTGCCTCACAGTGGCAGGGACACATGTTTGACTCTATCCTTTGGGTGAATGTCAGTGTGAAGTTTACATATTTTCTGTGTTTATATCGATTTCCACCGGTGCTCCAGTTTCTTCCTACAGTCCAAAGATGTGCAGGTTAGTTGGATCAGCCCTGCTAACTGTGGAGTTACGAGGATAGAGTGGGTCTGGACGGGATGCTCTTTGGAGTGTCAGTGTGGACTTGATGGGTCGAATGGCCTCTTTCCACTTTGTAGGGAATCTATGATTCTATTCTGTGATCATACACAAACTATGTTATGTAAAACAACTGTGTGAAAAAGCAGAATATTTATCTTTTGAAGTGGCAGCCCTCAATGTCAAAGTAACTAAACAGATTCCCTCTGCTGTTACACTGGGCTATCTAGACTAAGAAAGCCACTGGATCAATGTTTTAAATTAGCTGATCCCAGCTGTTGCAATGGCAGGACACTAAAGTTAACGCCAATATTTGAGGTGGTGGAAACAGAAATGAACCAGTCAGAAATCCTGCTCTGAATTCCTACTTTCCATGATCTTTACTCATAAGTCCAAATATAACCATTAACCAAAGACTTCATTGTTAACTTTGTTGTACTATATCCTCCACAATCTAGTATCTGGAGTCAGTCAATAGAAGACAACTAATGAATGCCTTTGAAAGCATACAAACTGTCACCTATTATTTGTGTGACTTTCCATTTAATTACTTTGTTTTGTTTACAGCTGTACTTTTTTTGACCAATTATATGCATTATTTTACATATTATCATCTGATTACTAATGATTCTATGCTGTATTCACAGTTTCATGGATGGTGCATATTTTCATCTGCTTATCTTTGGAGTCTCACATTTAAAATAACACACATTGACAGCTATGGGAATGAGCAGTAGTGGCAAGCTGGATGCAAATTTGGCTCATGGAGAGAAGGCATAGGATAATGGTGAACATGTTCTTGGGAGCAAGATGGAAGAATACAGGTGGTATTGCCCGGGGGTTCATATAAGGACTGCACCCTTTGATACATATTAATGAATTAGACTTAGAGTCATAGAGTAATCAGAGTTGCACAGCATTTAAATAGACTCTTTGATCCAACTCATCCATGGCGACCAAATATCCTAAATTATTCTGGTTGCATTTGGCCCATATCCCTCTAAACCCATCCTATTCATGTACCCATACAGATGCATTTTAAATATTGTAATTGTACCAGCTTCCACCACCTCCTCTGGCAGCTTATTCCATACACGTGCCAGTCTCTGTGTGAAAAAGTTGCCTCTTAGGCCCCTTTTAGATCTTTCCCTCTCATTTTAAAACTATGTTGGAAGTAACTTGACACCAGCTTTTAGTCCAAAAGGTTTATTTGAAATCACAAGCTTTTGAAGCGCTGCTCCTTCGTCAGGTGAAGTGGACATTCAACTGACCACCTCACCTGACAAAGGAGCAATGCTCCAAAAGCTTGTGATTTCAAGTAAAACTGTTGGACTGTCACCTGTTGTCACGTGACTTCCAACTTTGTCCATCCCAGTCCAACACCAGCACCTCCACATCTTAAACCTATGCCCTCTCGTTTTGGACTCCCCTACCTTGGGAAAAATTCCAGGGCTAGTCACCCTATCCATGCCACTCAAGATTTTATACACCTCAACAAGGTCACCCTCTTCCTCTAATATTCCAAGGAAGATAGCCACAGCCTATTCAGCCTCTCCCTGTAGCTCACCCTCCAACCCTGGGAACTTTCTTGTAAATCTTTTCTGAATCCTTTCAAGTTCCACAACATCTTTCCTATAGCAGGGAGACCAGAATTGAACGCAGTATTTCAAAAGTGGCCTAATCAATGTCCTGTACAGTCACAACATGACATCCCAACTCTATACTCAATGCACTGACCAATAAAGGCAGGAGTACCAAATGCCTTCTTCACTACCCTACCTACCTATGAAACTACTTTCAAGGTACTATGAACCTGCACGCCAAGGTCTCTTTGTTTAGCAACACTCCTGGAATTCTACCATTAAATATGAACCCTGCCCTGATTTGCCTTTCTAAAATGCACCACCTCAAATTTATTTAAATTAAACTCCATTAGTTTAAATTAAACTAAATTAAACTCTTCTGCCCATTAGCCCATCCGATCAAGCTCCCATTGTACTCTGAGGTAACCTTCTTCACTGTTAACTATACTACGAATTTTGGTGTCATCTGCAAACTTACTAACTGTACCTCCTATATACACATCCAAATCATTTACTTAAATGACAAAAAGCAGTGGACCCAGCAATGATCCTTGCGGCACACTGCTGGTCACAGGCCTCTAGTCCGAAAAGAAACACTCCACCACCACCCTCTGTCTTCTACCTTCAAGCTAGTTCTATATTCAGATGGCTAGCTCTCCCTGGATTCCATGTGATCTAACCTTGCTAACCAGTCTACCAGGAGAAACCTTGTCGAATGCCTTGCTGAATTCCATTTGGATACCATCTACTTCTCTGCCTTCATCAATCTTCTTGGTAACTTCTTCAAAAAACTCAATTAAGTTACTGAGTC